CTGTAGGACAGCCAGGGCATATATGATGGCCTATGAAAAAACAGTTAATTTAAGTATACTATTACAGCACTACTGAACAGCAAGCCATTATACATTGCTCCATACACGAGCAGCACCAGCATGCAGTTTATACAGTAGATTTTGTAAGTGCAGGAGCAGGACACTCACAAACACATTACATGGTCCGGCATACCTCTGCACTTCATCTGTGAAGCTCAGTTGTGTTGGTGTCCTCTGCAGCACTCCTCTCAGATAGTTGTTCCTCACTGTCGAGGCAGACAGGCACTCGGGAAGAGGTTAGTTTATGAGACCTTAGAGGGCTTACCGTGGAGTTCACCCTATGTGCAAACCATGGTGCAAAAACAGTTATTTTGGGGAAACTGATACATTTAAGATAAAGATACAATAATTTGCAGCATAGTTAAAAGATATTGTTAATGTTATTCCTAATTAAGGCCCTTGGTGAACCTTTACTATGAGTTTGTTAATTGTGATCCAATTCGGTAGGTGGCGCTGTTACAAAAGAATAGGGTCCTAGAACTGCGGCCTCCGGTTGTGCAGGAACATACTATTGACCGAACCAGCGGCAGCCCGAAGCAATCACAGCCAGAACGAGTCGAGCGCGGAGACGGCGAAACCACAGTGATCAGATCGTCAAGAATCATTGCAATTACATTCCTAAATGTTGAGATAGTGTCAAAAATAATTGCATTTAAAACATTTCGCTCAAAAGTTTAAGAGGAAGCATAAATACAATCCAACTGGCATTGACTATACATTTAAAAACAATGCCAAAACAAACAAACAAAAAAAAGGTATTTAATTAATTAATATTTACGAAAAAATACTGAAAAAAACAGCTGTGGGCATTTAAATTATAAGACCATTAAAAAATGACTGTACAATGTTACTATTAACAACTATTAGCCCCAGCACAGCAATGGCCGGCACAGGTTTTGGCATTTAACAACATAAATGAAGCATTCTGTGAGGCTAACAGAGTCATTTTCCAGCTAAAGTCAGTTAATTGATGATTCAGTGATTCTTCATCAGTTCAGCTCTCTTCAATAGTGTCTGTGCAATCAGTCAAGCGTCCCAACTAAACTAACCAAAGGAGACAGCGGCAAGAAGCCATCGTATTTAGCAACTTCCCATTCATTTGCTGCTATTGGTAAATAAATTGGTAGATAATTGGTAAAACTGTTTGCACTACAAACCAGTGTGCTTGTGGTTGTGATAATACATTGAAACTACGTGATAGGAAATACCAGTTTGACAGCTAAAATAATTGGGAACAAATGATGCCGGAAGTCTTGCACATTAAAGTTACAAATGGCATGCTGCTCTTACATTAAAAATTCAGTGGATCGCACCTGTTAGAAAACAGAAGCACCCTCTGCATTCTGTCTTACACCGTACATCTCCACACTGCACTAGGCAGGGAAACTGAGACGGGAATGAGACACTTTGCCTCTGAGGTTTCACACTGTTTCCAGAGCTCATTGTATGACTGCTAGACCGACTTCTGACTCCTGAAAGTCTCCTCTTTGCAGCACATCCCTGCTTAGTAACCATAAAAGCAGAGGCGAACCAAGATGAAGTGGGGGCCCCAGGCAAAATTAATAGATGAGGCCCTTCTAAAATATTATTTTGTTAATATATCTTTGTTACCTAGATATACTATATTTATACAACATACACATTTAAGTAGTTAAAGCACATTTAATAGCAGTGACGGCGCTACACCGGGGCTAGGGGGGGCTATAGCCCCATCAGAATTTTGAATATCATCTTGACTCCTCTAGACCCCTCTAGACCCATCTATAGCTCCTCTAGACCCCTCTAGACCCCTCTATAGCTCCTCTTGACTCCTCTAGACCTCTATAGCCCCTCTAGACCCCTCTATAGCCCCTCTAGACTCCTAACCCCTCTATAGCCCCTCTAGACTCCTCTAGACCCATCTAGACCCCTCTATAGCTCCTTTTGACTCCTCTAGACCCCTCTATAGCCCCTCTAGACCTCTATAGCCCCACTAGACTCCTCTAGACCCCTCTATAGCCCATCCAGACCCCTCTATAGCTCCTCTAGACCCATCTATAGCCCCTCTATAGTCCCTCTAGACCCCTCTATAGCTCCTCTAGACCCCTCTATAGCCCATCTAGACTCCTCTAGACCCCTCTAAAGCCCCTCTAGACCCATCTATAGCCCCTCTAGACTCATAGACCCCTCTATAGCCCCTCTAGGCTCCTCTAGACCCCTCTATAGCCCCTCTAGATCCCTCTATAGTCAAGTCAAGTCAAGTCACCTTTATTTATATAGCGCTTTTAACAATACAGATTGTGTCAAAGCAACTGAACAGCATTAATTAGGAAAATAGTGTGTCAATAATGCAAAATGACAATAGTAAACACTAATTTTCCAGTTAAAGACAGTTCATCATTGAATTCATTCAGTCTTCATTCAGCTCAGTTCAGTTTAAATAGTATATGTGCAATCAAGTCAACGATATCGCTGGAAATGAAGTGTACCCAACTAAGAAAGCCAGAGGCGACAGCGGCAAGGAACCAAAACTCCATCGATGACAGAATGGAGAAAAAACCTTGGGAGAAACCAGGCTCAGTCAGGGGCCAGTTCTCCTCTGGCCAGACCAAACCAGCAGTTCAATTTCAGGCTGCAGCAAAGTCACATTGTGCAGAAGACTCATCTGGTTCCTGTGGTCTTGTCCCGGTGGCCATCT